TCTCTCTTGTAAATGAGTCCCAGAGGCTCAATGGGATTAACCTGTATAAATAAAGGTTGAATGAAAGTTATTAACCATTTCCTCACATGACCATTGTTTAATGGTGACAGGATGAGAGTGTAAACATGGTGATGGAGAACAAACTCCAGTGTTTCAGTTTGCAAGGTATGAAGTGGAAGTGGGCATGCTTGAAATAGACTGATATATCAAGCTCTGGACCTTCTGTTTAGAGGGATTCAACTGAAAAGACGTTTTTAAAACTTTCGTTTTGGAAAGTGTTTTTAAAAATATAATGTTTTGCAGCAGAAAACCTTAATTAGTTCATTCATTCAGGTTTAGATTTATTTATTCATTCATTTATTTAATACCATGAGTGGGCGGCACATCAGTGCAGTGGTTAGTGCTGTCGCTTGTCAGCCTCTCACAAAAACATGTTAATTCAGTGGTAACTCCAAACTGTCCCTAGCTGTGAGTGAGTGTGTGAACAGTTTGTCTTGTTTCTATGTGTCCCTGTGATGGACTGGACACCTGTCCAGGGTGTACCCCGCCTCTCACACAGTGACTGTTGGAGATATGCCCTAACTCACCACAACCTGAAAAAGAAAAGCGAGAAAAGAAAATCAGATTTCTTAGTCAGGACAGATCCCAAGACAGCTATAATAGGTGTAGGAGACTGAAGTGAATTAGTTTTGTAATTGCTCAAATTGTTTTTTTTTTTTTTACAAATGCATGACTATTGAAACACACAAACTGTTTCACAGACTGAAAATCGGACTTTATCGTATACTTTTTGGGCATGTCACCTTGCAAACCTAAAGAATAGAATCACTGAAAGAAGTGCTGAAGTGGCAGAAATGCTCAACGATCTATGCAGAAGTCTTCTTTAACTTGACCATGCACGCATAAAGAAAATTTGTCATCTTCACATTCACAAAATGATGCACTGTTTTCTGAAATTGTGTTTCTCCAAAATGTCTTTACAGGCAGCAGCTGACATTTAGTTAGGTGTACAAGGTTAAGTCTGCATACCTTCAGAGAGAGTTTTCTTTCATTTTGATCTATTTTTTTATTCTCCTTATCTTTGTTTGTTCCTGAATGGTTTTCTTCTGTCTTGAACTGAAAGATTAAGAGACGTCTAAACTCCTTTTTTTCATTACCTCTGTTCATTCAGCCTCTCAAAGGCCAAGACAGAAGCAGAACAAATGCGTACATGAATCAAAAGTTGACTGGAACCAACCAGAAAATAATATGCAACAATATGCAATGACCAGGTGTGTTGCTATGGTGAGGAAAATGATTGGCCAGACTAGATTACAGTGTTTGCTTTCCAAAACTGCTTGTCTACACACAGCAGCAGCAACACAACACACACACGCATCCACACACTCACACACAGCTCTGCTGAAATAGGATGGCTGATTGCAGTAGTTTAGCCGTTAAAGCCATTTGAATGGAAATGTGAAATGGAAGTTCATTACCAAAAGTCCCAGGCACCAGCTGTGGAAGAGAGAATGAGAAAAGAGAATGACAACAAACCATGAAGGTGTGTCTCTGTGTGCTTGAAAGGTTCCGGAAGAGTCAAATTGTCAGTTTTGGAGCATTTTTTTTTCTTTTTGCATTTCAAAACATAATTTTCTAAAACAAAATTGTATAAGAACCTATTAAACACATACAAATACTACATTCACTTTTGGTCTGCATACCACTCCCTGTTCGAATTGAAATTTGGGACTTTATCTTAGATTTTGTAATTAAATGTAACTTTAAGTTACATTTTTATTTTACTTTTGTTTTATCCCCAATTTTCTGTTATCTCACAACAAATGCAGTGCAAACAGGACACACCTCTCTGGTATTTAAAACACAGGAAGATGTCTTTTTTTTTTCTTTGTCCCACTATAAAGTGCATTCACTGGCCACTTTATTAAGGATTCAAGGATTCAAGATTATTTATTTGTCATTCCACCACATGTGGTACATATGGTGGAATGAAATTGTGTACACAGGGTCCCAGTTACATCTAACAAAAGTATTAAAATGTAAAAGAAAAACAGTAATAAGATCTAGATATGAATTAAGAAAAACGTTTATAAAAATACACCAAGCACTAGTAGCATAAAATAGTATAAAATCATTACACCGAAGAGCAGCAGGCACATGAGTCTGTGTGAGCAGATGAGTAAAAATGAACACAGCAACATGAAACAGATCAGCAGCATGATGTGATTTTTTTTTCACAGTGATTATCTTGGTTAGATATTCATGAGTCTAACAGCCCCAGGGTAGAAGCTGTTCCTCAGTCTAGTGGTTCTACACTTAATGCTCCTTAACCTCCTTCCTGAGGGGTGCCGGGCAAAAAAAATGTGTGTGCTGTGTGAGTGGGGTCCTTCATGATGCAGGTTGCCCTCTTCCTGCATCTGGAGGTGTAGATGTCTGTGATGGTGGGGATGCTGACTCCAACTCCAATTAGGTACACTTGTTTAATTGATTTGCTTAACACAAATAACTAACCAGCTATTTGCATGGCAGGACGTTGGTGCCTTTAAGCATGTAGACATGGTGAAGATGACTTTCTGAAGTTCAAACCGAGCATCAAAATAAAGAAGAAAGGGACTTTTAAGTGACTTCAGATGTGAGATTGCTGTTGGCACCAGACACGCTGGTCAGGGTGTTTCAGAAACCATTGATCTACTGGGATTTTCACACCCAACTATCTCTAGGGTTTACAGAGACTCATCAAATCAGACGATGTTTTTCCAATCTTTAATTGTCCTATTTTTGTTAGCCTGTGCAAACTGTTGGCTCAGTTTCCTGTTTCTAGCTGACAGGAGTTGCACCCAATGTGATTTTCTGCTGCTGTAATCCATCTGCTTCAAGGGAAGGGTGTCTTGTGTCTTCAGAGATGGCATTCTGCAGACTTTTGTTTGGACAAGTGGTTATTTAAGCTACCGTTGACCTTCTGTCATCTCTAACTAGTTTGCCCAATCTTCACTGACTGCTGATGTTATTCATTCAACCTTTATTTAGACAGGTAAATCCCACTGAGCCTCGAGGACTCATTTACAAGAGAGACATGATTTCAACAAAGAATGATGACAACAATGGACAACAGCGACAACAATAGACAGCCACAAAAAAGGCATACGGATTTTTTTTTTTTTTTTTTTTAACAAATAAGATGGCAAAAAAAGTAACAAAAACAGCTAGATTATAAGGCAAATGTAGAAAACTAAAAACAGGAACATGTTAACAAGGCCTTTTTGTCCACACAAATGATGCTCCCTGGATATGTGTTCTTTTTTTGAACCATTCTCTTTTAACCCTGGAGATGGACATGTATAAAACCTCCCCCACATCAACAGTTGATGAAATACTTTGTCCAGCCCATCTGGCACCGAGAACAACACTACATTCAAAATGATTTTAATCCCCTTTCTTGCCCATTTTAATGCCTGGTTGAACTGTACCAAGTTGTATCTCCCCGCTGTCTGCATGCCTAAATGCATTTAGTTGCTGACATGATAATGGCTGGCAGCACAGTGGCACAACTGGTAGAGCTGCTGCCTCTCAGCGAGCAGGTCCTTGGTTCAAATCCCGGTCCAAGGGCCTTTCTGGGTGGAGTTTGCATGTTCTCTCTGTTCATGTGTGGGTTTTCTCTGGGTACTCCGGTTTCCTCCCATAGACCAAAAAAATGTGTTAGGCTGATCGGTAACTCTAAATTGTCCCTAGGTGTGAGTGAGAGAGTGAATGGTTGTTTGTCTCGTTTGTCCCTATGTGTCCCTGTGATGGACTTGCGACCCGTCCAGGGTGTACTCACACAGTGATTGCTGGACATGGGCACCAGCGACCCCATGACACAAAATGGAAGAAGCAGGTAAAAGATAATGGATGGATGGGCATGTTAATGGCTGAGTAGCTATTTGTGTTAACAAACAGTTAAACATGTGTAACTAAAAAGGTGGCTGGTATGCGTATGTGTATGTGCTACATGTGAAATAGAAAAAATTTAATATTCCAAATTCAACTGTAATAGAAATACTGAACATGTGGCATGATGTGCTCACATGCCCCATTATATCTTTTGTGATACCAGTGTGAATCTGTCAGGGTGAAGTAATCATGAAGTAATCTGTATGTCTACCTCTTGACAGAAACTGGTTTTCAGTAAACTAAATGCTTTAGACCTGTTTAGAACAGTACAGCTCTGTACAGGCAAACTTGACCAACTACTGCAAGTAAATGAGTTTACATTCATCCAGTGGCAACTTACCACTTCAGGCAACATCTTCTGAGAGGCATACATTTTTATGTATTGGAAAATGGGAAATTTGTGCCTTTTATGCTCAAACCATTTAAACTCAACCTTTTAAAGAAGAAACAGAAAAAACTAAAAGCTTTTGTTTTACAAAATCCCCCCCTATATATGGCACCTTGCAGTACTCTTAGTGCAGAGGACCCATGAAAAAGCTGGTTAAGAAATATATAAAATATTAATAATCTAATATTACTGTTCTCTGTATTGATCAACACTCAGTCAAGTGTCATTCCCTAATTTATTGTCATGTAGCTCTCAAGTCCAACAGGGCCTCATGGAGAATTGATAGGTCAAAAGACTGTGAAGCCTTAAGTAATGACAAAAAAATGAGGGTTTTTGTAAAAGTTTTAACAATTAACAACATTAGAGCAATTTCAAGGACCGTAAAAGAAAATTTGTGTTAAATAGCATGAACTGATGAAGGACTCTGTCGTCATTGTGTCCAAAGAACCTGAGCAGAACATTGCCACTTCTTCTGGAGCATTCAGGAAAATGTCTTCCTGTAATGAGATGACCAAATGTTTGTCTGCTACTGAGTCTGACGGGAATTTACTATTGCTTTGTTGCTAAAAAGTAGTAACAAAATAATTTTCTTTTATAAAAGGTGTCTTCAACTCTTTTATTTTTACACAAGTCAATATAATTTTATACTAAAAGCCATATATTTGTTTTTGTCTTTTTGTAGAGACTGGTAGAGGCGGCAGAAGAAGCCCACCTTCAGCATGAAGAGGATCCAGAGCTGCAGGTGATTCTTGATTGTCCATATTAAAATCACTCCAGTCAAATGTAATTTCAATTAAAAATAAAGCACATGCCTTGTTCTTAACAGCATACTAATTAATTTGTTTCAAGAGTAATCTGTTCTGCACAAGTGGCTGCTTCCCCATTAATTCTCTGTAAAAGATAAAGACCTAGCAGATGGTGGGCCTCTGTAAACACAGAAGCTGTCAGTTAATAGAAAAGACATTAGAAATATTTAGTTTGATAAGCATTGACTGTTTTTATGTAGACTGGTGCATTTTTTTATACTCATTTGTACACAAGTTTTAGTTGCTTACAGCGATTTAAAGTCTAGTTGGAACTTTCTTGTATAAAAGCATCAGGGATAGTTTAATGCTGAAATTTGCAGACATCATATATGCAATAAGTGAAAAATGTGAAAAGTCCTAAAATAACTGTATTTTAACAATAATTTCAAAGTCTAGTAAGGTATTTGTAAAGTCATCTGCCATCTTAAGTGGTTAATTGGTTTTAGAAATTCACCATTATTCTCCTAAAACTCGTGTGCTTTATGAATTTTCTATCTTTTTCCAGGAAACTGGATAAGCTTGGATATTTCTGTATTTTGTCCAAACTCTCGATTACTGTTTGGGGGTTGTTTTTTTTCTCTGTTTTATTTTCTTTTTTCAACTGATATAAGTTGTGTTTAGTCATTATAAAATAACTGATAAATTGGCTGTAAACAATAAAGCATAAAAGGAAGTCATGTGAGTTAAGGGAACATGGAATGAGTTTTCCCTTGGGTAATAAACCATACAAAAAATAAACCAAATTTGTTAATGGACCCTAATCTATTGGAAAACAAGCAACTAAGCATCGTTCAGGTTTTGTAAAAGTGGACAGATTTTCTCTCCCACAGTCCATACCTTTTTATAAATGTTGAAATTTGTAAATAATATCTAAGCTCTTGTTTTATTGCCTGGGTTGGATTTTGTTCCTCCATTGTTTCACCAGCTCTAACCAATATGAAGTAAACAATGAATTGCAATGAAAGCAGTCTGATATGTTGCTTTACTTTACTGCAACACAATTTGTGAAAAGTACTTCCTCCCCCCCAAAATAAAAAAAAAACAAAAAAAAAAACATGAATTTGCTCTGGTATTGTACAGCTCGGCTCTCATATTCCTTTTTATACACATTCCGAAATATTCACAAGAAGTTTCTCTTTCTGTTCTGCAGATTTGGGCAAATGCCTTCTGCTAATCACATCCGCATACACCCCCCCCCCCCCC